GAAAGTGATGAAATTTTTACTAAATTGTTTATAACTTTCGCAATTTTTTCGATACCCTCTTGGAATTTTTCAAAAAGTTGTTAGAGTTAATTCCGAATCGAATGAGCCGTGGATCATAATTTTCGATGCCCTTGAACAGAAGTTCCAAAAAAGGGTCTTGTGACCCAGACTATAATGCAAGTTACAAGAATAACTTTAATTCCATATGAACCGCTTTCATTTTGTTATCGATGCTGTATACCACCTCATCTCTCTTCATCCAGCGTAATAACGTTACGTTTCGACGAATAAAAAATTACCAGTGCAATTAGCGAACCTTCGGAGTTAATCGAAAATAAAAATAAACATGACATGATAGTCTCACGTTTCACTTTTGTAAGCAACTTTCGTGAATGATCGCTCACATTTAGTTGAAAGTGAACATGAAGATTTTGTTTGTTTTCGTCGACAACGTGGAATCAGTCTAATTTGCACTGCGATGCAACATTTAATTAGTGAATTTTCAAAATTTCCGTTTTGACGATGATGTATATACCGTATTCATCTCCATCATCTTCTTCCAGACATCGGCATTATGAAGACGAAAACGAATGGGGTTGTGGCAGTTGGTTCGAGTACACGGTAGTTGTAGTTTTGGCCAGCGTTCTACTTCTCGGATCCCTAGGACTGACGTTATTCTGGGTAATACAATATCAAGGAGGATTCGCGTGGAGAGAAAATCCCGAGAAACAGTTCAATCTGCATCCTGTGTTGATGGTGGCCGGATTCATCACTTTCAGTGGATTTTGTGAGTATTTTCATTTTGATTCATGGGTTAATTGTGTATAGGAGAAGAAGGGGAAATGAGCATCACTTGAGAAAAATATCCTTAAACATTGGACAAAGATCACTTTTTCAATATAGGGGAGACTGGGGCAAGATGAGAGAGCTAAGACAAAACTCGTTATACAAGGAAAGTTAAACTCTTTAATAACATTCTTTAACAAAAGGGGTAACCATTATACATTTCTCTCTTATAATTAAACGTTGTAGCATGCAAAATCACAGAACTTTTTTTGGCAAATAATGAAAAAATAAACTCGTCTTCTCGACTCGTCTACTGTGGTAACTTGCGTTATCCATCACTATTACGGATCCCTACGAAAATTTTACAAGTATGTTTTTAAACAATTCTTCGAATACTGTGGCATCCATTTCTTGATGATAATCCCCATTTTTCTTCGATTCAAACACCATCAATCCATCTTTCCCGAATCCTTCACTGCTGCCTATGTGAGTGATGATAAGACGACAACCTTTTCCAACTGGAATTTTCGAACTAGTGGACCAACCTTCCATAAAGGCTTGACTTCCACTTTTGATATTCTGATCTTGCCAAACCTTCGAGACGGTATGATCCTCATTAACCCATGTTTCATCCAAATAAAAAATAGATTTACCTAGTGCTCTGGCGTTCTTTATTTCTCTTTAATAGTTTCTTCTCCATTCTACAATCTCTGATTTTTCTATCTCTCCTATCTCTTCCTATCTTGCTTTCCAAAAGTGAAATTCATAATCGAGTTCTTCTTATATCAGGAAAAATCGGTCTTCTCGAATAACTGACAAAACTTAATTTAATGTAGGTATTTCGTTTTTTATGTAAAAAGAGTGTACTGTTCTCCTAAGAATTCTTCACTTCTTCATCGATAACTAAAACTTTCTACCAGTGGATACTTTCGTCTCGAAAAAGTTGTTGTTTTCCTTGAGTTCCTTGAGAATTCTAAAAATTGTCGATCTATTGACACCGGTCATATTCGCGCATTTTTGCACTACTTCCTCCTTACTTTTTATTTCAGGCGGATATTGTATTCTTAAAGAATTATATACATCCATAACAATTGTTTTTTCATTTATATTTAATGGTGACAATTTCGGACGCTTCACGATTCCCGAACAACTAGCTTCCATGTTGTATGGCTGTTTATTCAACGCGCTCTCGAAGTAAACTGAAGAATATCTCGAAAAACCCCGCTAAAAAGCAAAAGCCAAGACGGTCTTATTGATGGGTGCGATGTGTCTGTTGACAGTATAATTCAAAGGAATATCTATTCATACCGCCTTCAAAAAAACAATGTTTTTTCAATCCCCTTCAACTAAATACCTATTTGTTAGAGAATGTCTTGGTTACTACTGGACATATTACAACATTTGTCATAGTAGATTTGTTATTTTGTTTGATATGAATGATATTTTTCAAGAATTGATATTATATTTTCGTCGAACGCCAATTTTGCCAAGTGTATTTTCACACAATATGTTTCTGACAAACTGGACCAACGTAAACAAGTTGATGTGGTGTATACAGACTTCAGCAAAGCATTTGATCGGGTTTCATCAGTTGCTCATGAAATTATCAAGCTTTGGCATTTTGAGGAAGGAGCCTTCAATATCTGCTGAAATCATATCTTAGTAATATAAAATTATTCGTGGAATACAAAGGAATTAAATCGTTTATATTTAATGCAACTTCCGGGGTTCCTCAAGGTTCAAATTTGGGTCTACTATTATTTCTTCTGTTTGTTAATGACATTTATGATAGTATCAACTCTGAAAAACTAGTTTTCGCTGATGATATGAAGATTTTCAGGGAGATTGAAAACTACTCTGATTGTATATCATTACAAAACGATATTACTGAGTTACATGATTGGTGTCAGAAAAATGAATTATCATTAAACATAGGCTAATGTAAAATTATGACTTTTGCAAGGAAATCCTCAGTACAAATATATGAATACAAATTGGATAATATATCATTGGCAAGTATTACCGAATCGATAGATCGGGGTATAGCAATGAAAATGCTAGGATTTGTTTTGCGTAATTTCTGTTGCGTTTCGGTTTCTGTAGTTTTCAACCCCCTTCCCCCACCCCCCTCCTGGCATCAAACCGGAGTTTATTTTGACAAAGAATTTTTTTTCGAGTTACTACGTTTTGAAAAAAATCTGTTTAAAATCTGTTTTTCCGTTAACCAGCTGTCGCACTCCTACAAACGACAACCCTCAGAAGTCGAAAAATGTGCGAGCTAAGGATTAACGAGATCTTACCTTTTAAGGTATGATTCCTAACACGGGTTGGAAGCAACATCAGATTTGACCGAAAATCCTTTCTCAACTGTACGTAAAATAGTCAAAAACAAACCTTATGAACGCCAGTCGCGATGTGATACAGGATTACCAAAACCTTGGGATGTTCATTTGATAAAAATCATTGAAAAAACAATATACGACTGTTACAAAAGCAATGATATTCCTACAAGTGAAATCATAAGGAAGAAATTGAATACTTCCGGCCATAACGTGAGCTGCTTTAACAATATGTTTTTGATTTCAGTACATCCAAAAACATAAGAATTACGCAAAAAACAAAACAGCTTCCATGTTTTTTGCTGGTTAATTTTCCTAAGACTACCCCATAACAATAATCAATCTCAGAAACAAAACTTTTTTATTGCTGATATCCTTTAATTTAGAGTACCTTTTTCACAAATTATATAAGAGAATGTCTGAACAGCGCGTGTTCATCGATTAACGGTTCATCAACCTCAAAATTCCTTATTAGGTAGAATTTGTAGTAAGATAGTACTTTCCTGCGGTTGTATCAATAACTTGTTTGTTATTACATAACATCACAAAGAACGATTCTTTTTATTGAGCAGTTATGAAAATAATCGAAGAAGTTAAAACCTATCCATATAACTATTAATTATATTTCGATGGCATCAAGCAGATTATGTTGACAGTGGAAGTGGAAAATAAATTTGGGAAAATGTAGATTTTTAGTAGATACTACTTGTAATATTTTCGAAACAACGAATTGTTTTGGCTGTTCTGTTTCGGGGTGAAATATCCAGCTTTCCTTATAAATATATACTTTTATATTCAGAGATTGTCTATTAATGAATCCTTAATTAGTGACGAGATAACACATGACAGTTTATCATATTACAAATTCCATAATTGCAAACGTTCAAGATACACTTTCTTCAAATGAGTTTATACTACAAAAGTCTGATGCAAATAGTAAAAACACCATCTTTCTCAATTAAAAAATTCACGCTTTCTAAATAATCATGTTAATTCCTAATCTCATTTTTCATACTTGTCATGAGCGAACACTGAACAGTTGAATGTATAGGTATAACTTTCCGCAATCCACGAATATCATCTCCTAAAATGGGGCATTCAAAATCAATTTATATCTTTTGACTGGATAATTGATCAAATGATAGATCCTAACGCTGATCGGAAATATCACAAAATGCCAGAAACAGTCAGTTATTTGCATGTTTGAATGCTATCATCATATATTCTTCAAAATATTCTACAGAATATATGATGATACAAATTTGAAAAATTATCGAAGGAAGAGAAAATATTTTGAAATCAGGTCTTTTGTGTTTGTAGTTCCAAATATCACTCAATAGTACAAGGTATTGGTATCAGATCCAGAAACGCTACATTCGTTAATAAATACCAGACAGCCCTTTTATTTTTTCACGTTCACTTACTCAAATTTGTTTTTCGAATATTCGAACTAATCTCTAGTACATTAGCATTTTTCATATAGTATTTCCAATACCAATTGGAACAGCACAGAGAAGGAATTCCCGCCTACTTGCAATGGTTTCCGTCATGATTTCGCAGAATTCTGTTCTTCGATCAGGGTCATCTTCAGTTAATTGGTGTACCATTTTAATCTCCACACAGTAGAAGGAGACACCTCACAAACATTCGCGACGGAATAAGTAGACTGTTCAGGATTTACTACCATCGCGAGCCCTTCAATTTTTTTTCCATGAGACAAGAATTGACATTTTTAGAGATTGTTGACGTGGTACCTTTCTACTAGTAAAATCGAAAACGAAATGAGAATATTCTAACTGAACAATGATGCGCCCAGTCGCCATCTTGAGAGTTTCATCTGTCAATTTTACTTCAAAATAAAGTATTCATGCATTAATTTCATTATCCCAAATTTCAATTTTTTGAGCTGACCCGTTCAAAAAATAGAAAGGAAAGGTCATTTTTTAAGTATATGCTCATAGCCTAAATTTATTCTGATACGAAACGTAATTAGATTATCTTCAGAAACGTACAAAATCAGAATCTTATATATCCCAAGAAGTTGGTCCCAACTCCTCTCTGACCTGTTTTTGTCAAAACTTTTACTGGTTCTTGAACTGTCAAGACTCTAGTTTCATGCATTTTTATTTTTAATAATGAGTTTGTCAAGATTTTTGTTGTTCGATTAATAATAATAATGTTTTTATTCCCTTGAAATAATTATTTAATAATAATATAGGAAACATCAAGTAAAAAAAACAAGTAGATGTATAATTTGGAGTTAATAAATAACATACAGATTACAGTACATTGATCACAATTATTTGGAAGTATACTCAAAATACTCACTGATAGAATAAAAACATCCCTTTAAAAGGTATTCTTCAAATTTCTGTTTGAAAGTAGACATTAATGGGATACTCTTTATATTTGAAGTCAGACAATTGAATAACTTGGAGCCTGCTAGAGAGAGTGATTCTTGAAACAATTTTGTACGATGTTGCTGCAGTTTAATTAGATTTCTATTTCTTGTTGGGTAATTGTAACACTTTGAATTAGTTTCAAACTCAGACTACTTTTTTTTTACAAAAAGTAGGCAATTATAAATGGGTCTACAGGAATATCTGTGTGCTGAAGACCATACTACATACGTATTTCCCTTTTTTGACAGATGAATGCTCGA